TTATTGAACTCACTAAGCATCACCGCTTGCCCCTCTCAATGTTTAACAATTGCAGGCAATAAACAACCAGTATAGTTATATACTGATAGAAGATTTTGAATAGTTTGAAACTATTGTATTTAGTAATCATGTATGTATAAAAGTATAGTATCCTGGGTAGTTTTGTGTTATATAACACTTTATAATAATCAGTTTGTATCCAGTTGTTTGTAATCATTTTATCAATGTAAAATATTGTTTTTATGAATATACATGTAGCATGTTTTTGAGTAACAATTGTTAAATATGAAGGTGTTGGTTTTTCATTATTCGACTTCCATTGTTTTTTGTAATTTAACTTTGATTAAACCTTATGCTTTGGGAACTACCGGATGTTATGATATGTTTTAAAAATGAGTTTTAATTGTTTAATCGGGTTTTAAATAAAAATTTTGATTTGAAATTTGAGACGTTTCAATTTTGTATATAACTTTTAATTAAAAAAAATGTTGATGGGTAAAATGCCCGCCTTATGTACCTTTAGTATCGTCCCAATCTGTATGATGTAGCCATGATATTCAAAATTATCTATTATTATCTTGTCATGACTACTCACTTGGTATAGAAGGTTTGACAGCCAAACCTATTTGATACCATCTTTTTTGGGTCGACCGGTAATATATGGATTGATTTTGTTTAGTATAAATTTGACGGCCTGGTTAAATGTATCATACAATTTTAATCGTTTTGGGGGTTATCTTAATATTATTAGCACCAACCAACATCAAACATTTACAATCTTAGTTGATAAATGTCCTATAAATATACGGTTTGTGATTCTATATATAGTTTAATAAAAGTCGATCAAATACTTAAAATGCACCTTAAGAACACTTGATTAATAAAGAGTTACTCATTAAATTAAAATACCCATAAAGAGAGAGTTTATATTTTAATATACCGTAATTTAGGGATTTTAAAGAAAGACCACTAGTGTTATGAAACTAAAGTTGCGAGTTCGTGTGAACTCGCTTTTTTTACTTCTAAACACCCGTGTTGATCAACAAAGTTTGCAATAATACTTTTTTCAATGTAAATATGAACAATTTGACAAAGAAAATATAATAAAAAAACTAAAATTTATTCATTAACAAGTTAATATAAAGATAACGAGTTGTATCGTCAAATTGCGGATGTTATTTCGTGAGTTTAGTGGTTGATTTATGGTCATTTTAGTGAATACTTCATTAATTAAAGTATTAAACCATGATCAAAGAGATTAATATCTTACAATTGTAGTTGAGGACATGAAATAGTTTTTAATAAATCGTATTCCAGCTGCCAAGAGCATGGACTTCGTCTAGATCACCCTCTCATCCTAATTGCATAAAGACAAGTAACAATGCAATTAGATTAGTTAAATCTAGTGTGAAAATATTATTTTAAATACATAATTGAATTCAACATTCAATTAAAGGGTCTACTTGAAATTCGTATCTTCAGTATGAAATGCATCAAAATATAGATGTAGATAGATGTATATTGCTTCCAAAACAACATTCAAATTCAAAGCTATGAAAAACTATAATTCATAGAGTACACTATTACTTTTGAGACTTTGACCAAATAAGGGGACATTTCAAAAAGTGTTTGCAAACAGGAAAAGCTCAGGAAACTTTGGTTTTATTGTAAAAGCAATTCATCGACATACACCCTAGTTTTCTATTACGTGTACGTATATAATCACTGTTGTGTCACACATAGCACTAGCAATATCAATTTCTTCATGATAAGTTGAAAAAAATAAAACAAAACAGAATAAATTTTACCCTATTTATAAGAACTGATTTCATGGTGATAAGCTGATTAGTAACAAATAATCCACATAGAATGCACAAGTTAATTAAAAAATGTAAATGTCGCTTCTATAAGTGGTAGAGTGAAAGAGGCGTTTGTTTAGTAATGGCGGCAATTCAAAGTTTGTAAAGCTGAGTGATGTACTTTTAAAAAATTGCCACTAGCATCAAGATTCCACACCTATGGCTCAGCTGGTTTAGACTCGAATCATAAGTCCATAAGAAAGTAAGAAACTCATGTGAAAGAAAAATAATAAGCCTCGAATAAAATTGTTGAAAAAATATTATAAAACTCCTCACTTTATGTTACTAGTTATTTAATTACATCTAGTAGATTACGAGATACCGTTTCGATCTCACCATATTCATAAATTACTAGAGTTGTACATTATGTTACTAATTATTTAATCCCAAAATCGGTATTGGTGAAAGTTTTGTGGATTCATAAATGGTAATGTGATCCTTTCTACAATGATTTTTAGGCTGGAGGGAATAGTGTCATTGAACGGTTAGGAGAGAGAAAAGAAAAGAAAAACAAAGAAAGATGATTGGTTGAGAGAGAGAGAGAGAGCAAATAAAAGAGGAGAGAGAGAAAGGGAAGTGCAGTCGTAGACTACCGTGGTGCGGCCTCCACCGCTCCCAGACCGTGGTGGAGGGGCGGTGTTCATGCTGGGAGATTGCGGTCTCTACCGCAGTCACTCCCTCAAATCTTAGAATATACATTGAATTGTGTCAAGTGAATTCCATCATTTAACTTCATAGGAAGTAAAGAGTTCCATCCGATAGGAATGTTACTAGTAGTAGTAGCATCAAGATTCCATACCTATGTATCGGTTTGTTTCAAAGCAAAATAAAAAACAAAATCCCTCGAATAACATTTAAACAAACCATTTAGAACCATCGATTTTTGTTACTATTTATTCAATTGCATTTTGTAGATCACTGAGGTGTTGTTTGTTTTTTCTAAAAAATCTCTTCTAACCATTTATTGTTGTGTCGCGTAGCACACGCACGGCACTTGTCCCTTCTGACCTAAAAACGGTTGCGCGTGTGTTGCGTGGTGCAGTACTTGACCATCTGCTTCAAAGCTCTTCACACCTTAGTTTAACTTATTGCAGCAGTCTGCAGATGTTAAAAAACAAACAAATTTTTTATTATATGTTGCAGTCATTTGGTCCCCCTCTTCTGCTACAGAGGGTTGCAGAGGTGGTCTGCAGACTTTAGACATTTTCGCTTTGAAAAAATAAATGGTACCTAAATCCCTTTTTTATCATGCCACATTGGGCCCAGGTCCAACACAGCTTCTTCGAGCCGAAAATCTAGAGGTTTGGCTCGGTTTATAAATCAGTCTATACTCGATTTGGGCTAACGATTCGGGTTGGCGAAAAGCGGTTTAATAAGACTATGAAATGCCATAGTGTGACATGGTTGATTTATAAACTTAAATACGTGCACAAATTTCATTAATAAAAATTATCTTTAAATATAACTGATATATGAAAATGCACTAGTCTATCAGTTTTTTTGAACCAGAACTTTGAAAACTCATATGAGAGTTTTGATTTTTCTCGATTAACCCATGCTTCTTATTCATTCATTCCCTCCACGACACTCATGTATGTTTCCTAGCTTTCAATTTTTTGTGTTCGTTTTTCATTTTTCTTCTTCTTTTTTTTTTTTTTTTTTTTTTGCTAGAATACAGTTTTGTGTCCATTGTTCATTGGCTTTTAACATGTGTATATAGCAATGTTGTAAAACTCGACGAGTTGATCGATTACTCGTCCAAGTACTTACTACTCGGCCCCTTACTGAGGCAAGTTGCAGAATCCGAGTACTCTCTGATCGGCCCCTTATTGAAGTGAGCAGTGTTGTAAAACTCGGTCAAGTCGGTGATTAATATGTATAATATACTTAATGGTTTATTGTTTAACACACATGCATGTGAGTATTACGACATATATCTTAAATTTTCAATAATTATTCACAAAGTGGGACCATTGTGTGTTTTTCAGTTTTTGTGTATTCACATGTATCTAATTTTGTTATATATTTCAATCAACTTATATGATTTTGACAAATATAATTTCCCTAAAAATATTAATACATGAATTACCGAATCTGAGTACTCTACGAGTACTCGCTACTCGGTAGTCAGACGAGTAGGTACCGAATAACGAGTTCTAGAACATGGTATATAGTGGTTGAATAAGGTGTGTAGGACAAAACCGAGTGAATTCAAAAAAAGACAGAGTTAGGTAGGAGTTTTATGAATTCATAAATGACTTTGTCAACTATGTTAGAGTTATATTGGTATTAGATGAGAGTTTGGTGGATTCATAAATATCGATGTGAACCTTTTAACCATACACAAAATTTATGTCAAACGGCTTCCAATATGCAGAGAGTGTGTTGTAAAAATTGCATTCCATTATATTCATCGCATGAGAATTGTCTTTGTACGTCAGTTGCATAATATCTAGTTACTGTCGATAATAATCCGTTCAGACCTTATCTTATCGATTTTGTACTTTTGATACCTCTCCTTTTCATTGCAACAATTGTATAGCGTGTTGCCATTAATCGACTAAAATGACATGTAAACCATTTTCATCATCTTCAAGGAAGTCACTGGTCATCACTACCACATAAACCATTTCCCACCTCCACAACCACCCCTACAATCAATATCATAAACATGAAAGCTCAAATAGCACCCTCCACCATAAAAATCGAATGTCAAGCAACCATCAACTTCACATTCCATTCAATATCACTATGAAAACAAGTTAAAGTTACATAATGATGAGATAGGGGTGAAACTGGTCGTTAAATCTTAAGTTTTAATAAAATAAATTAAAGATATTAATACCACTTTACCCGGTTCAAATTGGTGAAATTGAAACAAAAAAAAATTGCTTACATGCCTATTGAATACAATCAAACAAATTAGTGACTTAAAATGCATGAGAATAAATAATAGTTGCTCTATATAATCGCATTAACCCTAAATAACACAGATTATTACATCATCATAGAGACTCTATATCTCAACTCAGTGTACAAAGCAATCACTCAACCAACAAACACCCTCTTTGATTGCTAACCATAAGAAAAGCCCACAACAAGCATAATTTTGAACCTATGTTTTTTTTGTATATGAGCTCTCAAAGCAAATCATTATTATATCCATAATAGTAAATATCGATCACATTAATCCACCAAAATATGAATTAATTGAACAAATTAACTAACGACTACCCCATTTCCACCTTCTCCCAACTTCCTCAAGTACCTTAGTCCTTGCTTGACCCTTTTTTGCTTCATCCTCTATCCAAGATCTGCACAACATATGACATGACATGACATGACATAACATAACATAACAAAAAAGATAAGGACATGTGATGACATGACATGACATGATATGATATGACATAACATGAAGGTTTGCGTATGTATACCTGAGTATACGAAGGGCTTCTAATTCAGCTTCAAGTATTGACTTTGTGTCAAGAATTCTTTCATATTTGACCTCTAATTCACCAACATTACTACGTGTTTTATGTTTCTCATCAACAAAATTCTTCCTTTCATATGAAAGTCTCTCATTCATTTCATCAACTTCTTTCTCCAAACTCAAAAGCAACTGTTTTTGACAATCTAAAGCTGCTATTTCCTTCAAATAAGCATTCACAGCATTATCTTGACTTATCTTTTGATGCTCTAAATCTTTAAGTGTTTTAAAATAAGCTGCTTCCACCTCCAAACGATGCCTTTTTTCATCTTGTATCTTTTTCTCCCAAAATCTTCGTATCTCTCCTCTTTCAAGAAGCTCAGATTTTATCTCTTTAATTGCAAAATTTCGTGAGGAGTTTTCAGATTTTAGTTTTGAAAATTCTTGGTGAATTAGTTTGGTGAATTTTCCACTTGTGAGTGCCACTGCTGCTTGTGCCTTGGTGCAGGGTTTCCCAGGCTGAAACCGCTTCACTTGACCTAATAAATGAGGGCAAAATGGTAAATTGTCAAGACTTAGTGAACTTAATGTGCACAGATGTATAAAGGTGTTGCATTTTCTTGAAGATTAGTGAATTTGATTTTATATGGGTAGCAAGAAAATTTGTATCTTTATCTCAGAAGGGTAAAATGGTAATTTACTCATATTCAGATGGTTCATTCAATCTGAAAAAAAAAATAAACTATCTTGTTGTATTTGCTTGAAGATTAGTGAAATTGATTTTATATGGGTAGCAAGAAAATTTGTATCTTTATCTCATAAGGGTAAAGTGGTAATTTACTCATATTCAGATGGTTCGTTCAATCGGAAAAAAAGAAAGTATCTTGTTGTATTTGCTTGATGATTAGTGAAAATGATTTTATGTATCTTTATCTCATAAGGGTAAAATGGTAATTCACGCATATTCAGACAGTTCAATTGATCTAAAAAAAGAAAGTATCTTTGACTTGATACATACAGATATATAGAGTTGTTTCTTTTTAACTTAATACATATAGAAAGTCTTAAAGGCCAAAGTCATGGACACTACATTTTACCATATTACCCTTTACGATAAATAACTGTGTCTTGGATGTGTAGTGATTGCTTGAAGACTAGTGAAACTTATTCTATGTATATAGGTAACAAGAACATTAGTATCTTTATTTAAGAAGGGTAAAACGGTCATTTACAATAATAATTCAATGCATGTGAGAGAGATTAGAAAAGAAAAGAACCAAAAACTTTTCTCATTATGCTTTTGTCATCAGCCATCATGTCCATGAAAAGAGGTGGCAATATATCTGACTTCAGCTCCCTTGCATCCAGAAACCCTATTTTGTTCCTTAATATCTGGACTGTAAAAATGTCAGTTCTTAAAAAAAAACAAAAAATTAATTAATTAATTAATTAAATGATCTTTATATTATTCCTACCTCTTCGTTTAATCCTGCCATAACTTGGTATTCTAGTTTAGCTCTCCAACCAATAAGATCCTCCCGTGATATAAATCTAGAAACAAAATAAGATAAATAAAATGTAAAAAGAAAATTTTAAATCAATAATGTTAAAAAAATAATACCTCTCTGGGAAAAAACTTGTATCCAGATCAGAAGTTAAGTTTTCACTGGACAACTTGCTCAGAACAACACCAGCTTCAGCGAGAGCTATTGTACAAATATTCAAAACAAAATAAAAAATATATATATTAATATGTTGAGGGAAAATACATGTGTAATTAATTAATTATAAATTTATATTATTAGCATGTTTAATCTTACCTTGAATGTAAACAAAATCAGGATCTTCACTCTTAATGTCATCAAAAGCATTAATGGTGGATCCAGCCAATGAAACATATGGGGATATCCTATTCTTTGGATTCCTGAATCCCGAAAAAAAAAAATATTATGTATAAATTAATTATTTTAAAAAAGAATTATAGAAAATAAATCATGAGTTGATTACCTTTCAAGTGTGGAGTTGAGTAGAATCAGCCATCTTGCATATTCTCTTCTAGAACATAACTCATCTGCCATGACTTCATCTTCAATTATCTGTGTACTTTAAATGACAGGTTATTCAGAGTTATTTATCAAATAATTAATTTATATTTTTGGAAAAACTGTATAACACAATACCTTCAGATTCTTTAACCATATTAAAGCTTCTTGTTGAGTAGGATCTGCAGAAACTGAAACTACTATTCTTCCAGGCTTTTCTTTTCCTTTCTTAATATGATCAATTACTGTAATGTAAAAAAAAATGATGAACAACATGTATGCATATTCTGCTATGAATTTATGATCAATGAAACAATCTGGGAACTATGATGTGTACCTTCTTCTGTTGTTGCATCAACTTCTTCAGAAACGGTTTCCATCAATGGCTTAGTAACAGCTTCATCTACCTCTGATGTATCTTCTGAACTCGATGATTTATGATCAACAGAAACATGAAATGGGGTGGTGAATCGCAAAACGTAACCTGAAAAGAAATTATTCCCAAAAGATCGCATCATCCAGCAGCTAGAAAGTAGAAACACAATCCTCTGATTCAAACTAATAGGAGTGATAGAAAAGAGTAATGTTTAGTTATTTACCTTTTCTTGATAGAGTAAAATGAGCGAACACAGCGAGTAAAGCCACAACTGAGGTCCCAATACCAAACAGTAGAAATGTAGGCAATCCTGATTCACGAATGACTTGCTCAATAAAATTTCACAAATTTTGAAGTTTAGAAGTACAGCAGGATTGAATGCAGTTATCAGATTGCTTTGAAATAGATCAAACTCCATGTAAGTAGCTTGTTTCGTACGCAAAGTAAATGGAGCTTTCAGCAAGGGGGAAATACGAGGGTTTAAACGTTCTACCTTTTTTGTGTTTCTTTGGAGTTTCAGATTCTTCAAGAATCGCCCAACCATTGTAGTCTTCAGCATCCCGTCTATTAGGAGACGACAATTCGAGGTTATCCCGGGTAATTGAAGCAGATAGAGATATTAATCTTCGTCTTCTAGGGTTTGCGTGTCTGAAAACACCTTCATCGTTTAAAATTGGAAATGGAAGTGAAAATTTAAGAAAGAGGCGATTTCTGCTAGGGAGATGAAGAGGCAGGAAGTTGGCTGCAGAGGAAGAAGAGCACATTGTCTTCCTCATTAGAAGAACAATTTAGGGTTTTTTAGATTTTGAAGCTGAAAGAAATCCGACCTCATGTGGGTTTAACTTGGATTGTTTCATACTTTCATTTCAACTTTACGTCTTTACCATAGTTTCAAGGATTTGCCTCAGTAGTCGGTAGAATCGATTTCCTCATTTTTCTAACACCTTATCTTGTTCTTTTTGGTGTCGGGTTGAAAGAAAAGAAAGAATAAATTTTTAGTTACATAAATAGTCCTTGGGCCGTTGATAAAATCTATAGCAAATTAGCAAGGCTCTAAATGGAGCGGATACGTATATTATTACTTTAGAGAGCATGGTCCTAGTCAAAGATCCCGAAGTGAATACGTATATAACGTGGTGTTCAAAGTGTCCAAGAAGTCTCTTTGTGGAGTCTATGGAGTTCCTAACGTTTTGTTCCGAGTTTTTTTTGTAAATTCAGCAAAGAAAATGGGAGGAAAATGTTGATAGGGAAGGGAAGGAAAATATTTATTATTCTGTGTTTCCGAGTTTGAAGGAAATGAAAAGAAATAAAAGAACAAGTTTTAGTTTTTGTGTTCCCGAGTTAGGAGGAAAAAAAAAATTTATTTTTTTTCCCTTCACTTTCTTTCCTTTTCCGCCCAATTTAGAAGGAAAATATGACTCCAAAATCATTTTCCTCTCCTCGTTTTCCCTCTGTATCCTCTCATTTCCCTCCTTAAGTAGAATTTGAGAACAATGTATAAAAGTTTCGCTCCAAAGTTACAAAAAACGTGTGAGTTGACATTGTGAGTGTAGGAAATACTTAAATTTTATATAGTATTCTTCAACAGTAAAATAATTACTATAGTTTGCACGTGAACATAACTTGATTATCTTGATCAAGTGAACCACGTTAAATCTTCTTGTGTTTTTATTTTATCTTTTGAGCATCATCACCCATATTGTATTCTTAAAGTTTGTTGAGTGTTGGGGATATTAGTTGATGGTGGAAAATCGGATTCCTTATGGATCGTATATGTCCACTTTCCAAACTAATATTTCCACCTTATGCATGGGTTACAGGAAATCTAGTCTATGATGATCCAAAATGACACTTGTGTATCTAGACACAGAAACACAAGTCAAATCGTTAGAGAATTATGAGTCCGTTCAAAAAGAAAAAGAGTAGGGTTCTTTTTACGGCTCAAAAGAGGAGTCGTATATGTACATGACAGTTTAGGGTTGTGATCCTCAAATTTAGTTAAGAGAATCTTGAATTTAATGGCATAATCAATGGTTTCGAAAATTGACAAGATCTGTCAATCTTACAACGATCACCCACTAGAATTCGGTTTTACGGCTCAGTGAGCTCTACCCCTTGGACCCCGCTAAGGGTGCTGCCCTAGGACCTATAAAGGGGTACGACCCCCTTGACCCCCGATTCAAACAACACTAAAGCAGGGAATGAATTCAGTAGAAATGTATCTAACATAAATATAAATGTAAGAAAATACAATATAACTTTGACAGAAATATAATTAGGCACATACTAGGAGCCGCCCTGGCCTCCTCTGTTGTCAACTGATAAGCATGACCCCTGACCTCCGGGGCCTCAGCTCTCCCCTAACATCCATATGTGATCCGCAATGTAGTGGTGCATGCACTAGTTTGGTAGTAAGCAATAGACAATTGGCCTTCACACGGCCCAACTGATCATAATGGAAATAGACTTTGAAGCTTTAAGAATAATTTTTTTCCTAGTGACCCTCTTTCCCACATTTAAAACACCTAGACCCCGCTCTGCAAAAACCCTCGTGAACCTTCCCGCACTTGCTGCAAACACGGGCCCTCTGGTCTCCAAATCGAGAATCAGTGGGCTTGAACCGCTTCACTGCAGGCTGTGTATGAACTGTATTTTGCCTCTTCTCCGTCTTTTGTGCCTCTATCTCAATCTCTCTCCTTTGGGCGTGTGACTGCAAATCAGTCAGGGTCCGATACGGGGTGGTCGACACAAACTCTCTAATCCCTGTCTTGAGCATGCTTAAATATCATGACATCTGCACCTGCTCTAAAAATGCATGCTTAGGGAAAATAGGGCCTTCTCGGCGAATATCTTGGTGATATCGGTCACCGATCATATCGTCTACTTGAGCGGTAGGTACTCTTGGGTCAATCGTTCTCTCTCCACGGCCTGCACTACAGGAGAATAAGTCTATATCACATCGCAAACTTTCACCAATCCGTCGCCCCCAAGCGAATGAGATTCAATGTGAATCTAACCTTCAGGTTATCTGGACAAGAACAGGTGTAGAAACATCCATCCACATCAAAGATCCATGTCATAGCAACGATCGAGTCCTTGACCCTGTCGAACTTCAGGGGCTTCGTGTTACTGAACTCTCAATACTGCATCGATCCTCCCCATGAGGTTCTGCAGCAGCAACAACTATAATTGTTGCGGCATAACGCTTGTCAAACAAACTCAATCAGCGCAGAGACCCGAAAAGCTCCGGAATCGCATCCCTAATCACTAAGGTCACATGAGTGGATATCAAACCGTGGATCTCATCATCACTCAATCCCAACCTCTCCTAACCACTAGTGTCCACACCTGAACCTCTGGTCGTCACCATACTGAGAACCTAAAGAAAATAGGTCAGAATCAGTCACTAACTTCTTAGAAGTTTGCGACTTCTTCTAACACTCGTACGGATCATGTGTTTCAAGTAGTACAAGTTCATACTACCTTTCGCGTATATTTGTATTTGTCTCAAGAGTTACCTCAAAATTCTAAGTCACACTACGTAGCTATTGCTAAATGTTGTAATGTAATCTTCATTTTGTGTTTTGATATGCTATTTGCTTCATTTGGTACATAAGAAAAAAAGGATCGCAACTACATCACACGGAATAATAACTATTGAATACTTTTACAAATATTATTGTTAATTTACACCGAAATGAAGTTGGGTTCAAGTGGTATGTATTGAAAATGAAGTAAAAATGGGATTTGTAGTTGGATTAGTCAATAAACATACTTGTCTTGGCATTCTAAAACTTGTAAACCTTAAATTGGCATTCTAAAACTTGTAAACCTTAATCAAAAAAGTAAAAACACACCGAATAAAACCCAACCTACCACTTGTTGACAGAAATTAAACCTCCACCATAATCAACCTATAGTTTGAAAGGGAGGGAAACTAAACACTTTAACATACAAACAAATATATCCTCCTTTCATTTTTCCCTTCCATAAAAACAACTGAAACATTACAGACACTCTAAAACACCTTTCATGCCTTTTGTTATATCTACAACGGTTATTAGTAATCACGACTTTGATTTTGACTTCTTCCACCATAGCTGTTGTATCCTCCACCCCCTCTCCGCCCATAACCATAATAACCACCACCACCTCCCCGCCCATAACCACCACCACCTCCCCGCCCATAACCACCACCACCTCGTGAATAACCTCCTCCCCGGTACCCCCCACGCCCACCTCTACCTCCTCCTCGGTATCTAGAGAATTCTCCAAATGTCTGTCACCAAACAAAAGTTACAAAACACATGAGCATGCCAAAAGACGAAAATACCCCTCTCATCGTTATTAGTTTACCTCTGTATCGAGTTTCATCTGCTCAGAGAACCGTGTCCTTCCGTTATTCGATTGGTTGTCAAGTGAGTTGCAAGATAACGTATCGAAAAAATCATCCTTGCTATAAACACCATTCTGTATTATCGGTCAAATAGTCAAACATTAAAATAAACATTGCAATTTTCATGGATAAGAACGACTAAGGTCTAAGAAGGGGTAAGATAGGAAACTTACCTTGGCTTCCACCTTTGATAAATGTACATCAGCTCCATTTTCATTCTCATCTTCATATTCATCATCATCATCATCATCATGAGCACTAACATTTCCATCATTCGTTTTTCCTAAAGTTCCCCAAATTTCATCCTTGTTGAATTTCTCATTCATTGCATTAAAATCAAACTCCTCAGTGAATTTAACCACAGATCGTGACCCCTGGATCATAAATGAACATTTTTTTTTAAAACAGGGATGTATTTGAAAAGTTTTGTAAAATGAGAGGCTGGAACAGAAAAATTACCCCATATCCTCTGCCTCTCTCACGCCCTCTGTAATTATAACTCTGTCGATTCTGGTAAGAACCTCCATTCACCTAAAACAATATTATTAATAATAATAATAATAATAAAAACAATAATTAAACATTTACAAAACAAAAAAATTACCTACCTTTGGGGTGATACGTGCTTGAGGTGGTAAAGGCAATATCGGAGGCTGAGCTGGAAACGGAACCGGAATCGGAATAGATGATTCCAATTCCAATTCCAATTCCGATGATGATGTAGGCGCCACCTGGACAACTTCTTCCACATCCTTATGAACAGTCTGTGTGACTTGAGATGAAAGTGAAACAACAGCAGTTGTAACTCCAGACTGAAGCAGCTGTCCTGGAGTTACAAGTGATGGTGTAGGTAATGATTCCATGGGTGCTGTGGGACCCACAGACATGTTTAAGGCGCCACCTGGCAAGGATCCATTATAACTGGGATACTGCATATGTGGTGGTGGTGGTGGTGGTATTAAAGATTGTTGATGCAGCTGTGGGACCCCATTTGGAGGTGTATAGAATCCGGGCCAATACATTGGCATTGGAAGCCCAGTAGTGTTTGGATTTGGAGGAGGTGGCATTGGGGCCCACGATCCTAAATTTGGGCCAGGTGGATATAAAGGGGGACCACTTTGCAAAGTTGGTGGATTTTGGATGCTAAGATCAGGCAAAGTGTTGGTAGGAGCAGAAGATAATGGAGGTGGTCGAGGGTAGTGAGACTGTGTAAAGAGTAGCAGGAGTTTAATAATTTAAATTAAATGAAAATAAATATATATATATATATTCGGGTTGTTAATTGTTATATGATTTATAAATTACCTGAATAATGGCGGGATCGTTGTTTATTATAGGTTGTGTTGGCTGAACAGGTTGAGATGATTTCACCTGAAGATCCTGTGAAGGAAAATAAATAGCTAAAAGATATTCCTACTATAAGGAAAGAGCTGTATGAAGTTCTTTAAAAAGATAGGAGTTATTACAATAAACTGAAATTCAACAGCTTTACCTTGATGTCACTTCCACGAAACAATATGTATTCATAAACTTTGTCACTAGGCATGAGTTGGGGGCCATCTTTTTTTCTCCCTTCAGTTCCAAATGATCTTACTACAAATTGATATATAATAAGTAATTAGTAATTACTTACTCCGTTAATGGAATCTAATGATGCAGAGGTTGAAGAAGTTAGAAATTGGCATGGTATGCTGTGACAATTAACTAAATTTTGGTTATGGAAGCAGAAGAATTATAGTTCGAAGCACTCAATTTGATTGATGTCTCTCGTTAATAAGCATTTGCACACTTGAATGCCGCAACAGAAGCGAAACAAGTCTATCCTCATGTTCGAATTTATGTTAACATATAGAAAAAAAAAACCTAATCACGAAACTTGGTAAGCAGTTCACTTATGCGAATTACGATCTATTTCGTTTCTACAAGTCTAGAACCATACTCACAACAGAATTTAAGAAGAAAAAAGCACAAAATTGAAGAACCGAAAGGCATTTAAAAAATAAAAAAATAATAAAAAAAAACAAAGATCGGATTGAAATGGATACCGTTACGCAATCCGATTGAGGATTCTTCAGTGTTTATGTTATACAAAATGCCTTCATATCTGATTTCACTCTTGGAAGTCAAGCTAATCAAACTACCGATATACGAATCGGCTGACGAACTTGACGATCTAGAACTTTCTGTCGCCATGATTCTCCGTTTCTACACACTTCAAAGTAGGGAAGTATAGATAGAGATAAGAGAGATTCAATTTCTTGACTTGCTTGAAGTGATGCTTTTGTAAAAGATAATGGTTAGGGTTTTCTTGCAGTTCTTGTGCTTACATGCTTTCCCTTTTGGGCTCTTTTTGGTTTATCGACTTCGAGGCGCAGATTCGCAAATCGGACCTTTTTTGCTAAAATTGGCTTATCTTAACCATGCCAACTTGTAAGACCGTTAGGTATGGGAAACTAAGCCGTTGGGTATGGGTAACGGCTTCGGTCGATTTTATGATGTAGAAAAGTGGTAATACAGGTTGATCCGTTTGCCCCGTCCAACGATGATGACAATGATAATATATTTATGACTATGATGTACAGGTGTTGTATGTGTTGGCTAGGAAATGTCACATCATCAACTTGTGACCGTTACAAAGAATTTGTATGGTTCAAGTTGTTAGTAGTGTCCTAGTTTTATGCTTATATGCACGTTGAATAAAGCTCGTAGAATCAGTAGAAGTTAGTTCCTATTTTTTTGGTTTATTTTCATATAAAAGTCATGTACTTTCCAGTTGTTAAACAAGAAGTGAATGCAACTTTTCATTCCAGTACTTTACATATCTCTTTCTATCATGTTTTCTTAGCTAGTTGTTTCAAATTTTCATCTTGTGAAAGTTAACAAGTGGTATCATAGCTTTGCTAAATATGTCAGAGTTGCTACTGGTGGGAAGAGTCAAGAAGTTAGACCATCAAAACTACAAGTCTTAGTCTACCTATTTAAGTTCGTATCTACAGGGTTAGGATCTGCAGGAAGTGGTAAATGGTAATGATACCGTTCAACCTGCAAGAAAGACACAAGATGGAGCCTTGAGAAAGTGGAAGATACGAGTCGGTAAAGCCTTGTTGTTTGGATACGAGTCGGTAAAGCCTGTGTTTCCTTATCCACAACAGAAGCAGAATACATCGCTGCCGCATCATGTACCTCTCAGGTTGTTTGGATTCAAAGTCAGTTAAGAGATTATGAGCTGAGTATGAAAAAAATCCCTCTATACTGTGACTCTGAAGTGCAATCAGGATTTGTCATAATCCAGTGCAACATTCGAAAACCAAGCACATTGCACTTAGGTATCATTTCATCAAGGATCACGTAGAAGACGGGAACATAGAAGTACATTTTGTTCGTTCTGCTGATCAACTGGCCGACATCTTTACTAAAGCCTTACTAGAAACAACCTTTAATAAAATCTTACAAGGCTTGGGTATGATGGAAGGAGAGTCGGTACCGAATCCTCAAATCTCTCTTTAAAATTAAGACAACCGAGATAGACAGACCGCTCGGTCTATCTCTGCTCTAGAATTTTGGGAACCAACATAGACAGACCGCTTTTTATATCTCGGCTCCGTAAATCTCGGCTTCGCTCGGTCTACTTTCATTAATAAGACAAGGTTTTGGTTGTATATTTTTTACGTTCTTTCTGTTTCTATTTCAAAAAATCTCCAAAAATCCAAAAATATTTTATCTTTCTGTTTTTATTTTTTTTCTCAGAAAATCTCCAAAAATTCAAAAATATTTTATCTTTCTCTTTTTATTTTATTTTTTTAAAAACTACTTAGAAATATTTTATTTGTTTCAATTGCTTGTTTGTTTTGTTTGGTGTCTATCATTAATAGGTAAACACAAGTATAACCGTCGATAGATCTAACGCAGGTATGTTTTCACTTTTACTCAACCTAGTTAAGTGTCCCTAGAAGCATGTTGTTGTATGTTGTCTTAAGCCTCTATGATCTTGAGTACGCCTTAATGATTCGATACCCATCGTTTCTTCCAAATCAGGCTATTTTACCACACTCGGTCTAGAGCTACCTTACTCTTCTCATTTGAGTTAAGAGTTTCTCTGCTCTGTCACGCTTATCTAGCAGAAGGTACATTCGGTTCTTTAACCACCTCCTTATATTCTCCATCTACTTTCGGTTCACTAACGTAACCCTTGAGACTCTTGGTCTTTACAACTGAAGTTTATGGTTACACAACATCTGTGTTTATGATCTTAGATACGATTACCACGTTCTAAGTGAAACCCAAAATCCGACACCAAAAATGAATTGACGATGAGTGATACACTCAAGCATTAACTGGTTACCTAAGGAAATCTCTTTTTATTTTGCATGATCTTTTACGAAATCGTCTACAGCTAAGACATTTCTTCCCAAAGAGGTCCAATTTATTTTTTTGAGATTTCTACTTCCTATAAGTCATAAACATAATATATCACACCTACCTGTTCAATAGATCACATCGGTCTCACAGGTACCTCTACCAACGATCGGTTTTATGTTAAAACTCAATGTTCGGTTGGAGGAAAGCCACCCAATGCCTATGATCAAAAGAAGCCTTTCAATGTTTATTAACAAACAGTTGATCGTATTTTTCGGGAAACCACACAAGCACTTCAAGTCTCTCTTGACTTTGAAGGAAGTGATTCTTTCCCGGAATCCTCTGTTTTTTGTCTTCTAAAAAGACATCACTCACGTCCCATACACACTTGCTTTATTTCTTTATCTTTCACACTCTTATGCACGAAAATTAAAGTTTTCCAACATTCTCATTGTTGTTTGGTATAAGTTTTGTGGTATAAGTTTTGGTTATCAGTTGTAACCAAACAAGGGGATATAGGGAATTTCAAACAGTACGAAGATAAGATTTGGGCGCGTGAATTTGATCCGTTTCAAACCCACGCGTGCTTACGTTTTCCTGGGATTAACCACACTGTCAAATCGCGCTTTTTCAGGCGACGTTTTAGCAACCTCATCATCACGTTTTCTCTCTCCATGCAACTGTATAAATAGGAGTGATCGTTTTATTTGTCATTTACCAATCTCAGATTATCTCTCTCATACGAAGTTCAAACTGTTCATCTTCTTCTTCGTTCATCAATGGCGACCTCATCCTCCGCACATGATCAAACTGCAACATCCTCCTTGCTTACAAGCAAACCCAACCAAAATATGATAATCGAAATGAGTCCATTCCTATATGACTCGTATATGTTGCATGTAGTGGAATGTCTGAAGTATTCCCCCTTGTTATTAGCCCTAACCCAAGTCGAAGCGGTTCCAATGTCGCTGCTATCTCAAGTCTACTCATCAGCGACGTATGACAAGAATAAAGATCGCATCTACTTCACCATTCATGATAAGAAATCTTCGATTTTAAAGACGAAGTTTTGTTCACTTTTAGGGCTCGCATTTGATTCTTCAATCATCTCGCCTGATTTCATCACTACAACCCAACTATTCACAATGATGTGCAAGATGGGATACACAGACGTGCTTACATCGATTGCGAAGGTCAAGAAGTCATGTTTACCATCGCAGTGGAATGGGTTGCTGACACTGATAATCAAGGGTCTGGCGGAAAGAAGTGGTGGTTCAGATACCACAAGTAAAGGCTTTCTTACCATTCTTTATGGTTTATACAACGAGATCAATCTAGATTATGGCACGATAATCTGGTCCCAAGTGGTGCAAAGTTTGAATACAACGACCCGTCATTCCGAGATTTCTTGTGGTCGTTTCTGGACCTTGATTACAAGGAAGGCCATGGATTCTTTGGAGATACCAGTTATGAAGGATGCTCTTCTTGCCTCTATCGCTACATTCCACACCAAGAAGATCATTTTATCCGATCCACGTAAGTTTCTCCATTATGGATCAATTCCCGATTCAATGTACAGGTGTGTCACAGCACAGAGCATAGTGATGGAAGATTACCGGAAACTTTCTCCAGTTGGTCCAAGGGTTCTGTCTGAAGAACAACAAGCAACACTAGATGCCTTGGATCAGCCTGCTAACAGAGGCAAGCGGGTGGTAAAGAAAGAGAAAGAAGAAACCAAGGAGACAAAGCCAAAATCTTCAAAGCGAAAGGCTGGTGAGGGAGCTTCTTCTCAATCAAAGTCGAAGAAGATTAAGAAGATGGCTAACAGGCCCAAGGGGAACTTGTCTCCTGGACCTGAAACTGTTGACGATCAGGAAGCAGAAACTGAGCATCCTCAGGCTTCCACCAGAGAGCCCACACCTCCACGATCTCCAACCCCACCTCCATCTCCTAAAGATACTCAAATTCTAACTCCACCAGCCTCTCCCGAAACTACTAAACTTCCAACTCCTCCACCATCTCCTCAACTTCCAAAAATTTCCACTCCACCCCCATCACCAAAACAGCAAGCTCCACTTTCTGTTCCTACAGATATACCACCCCTTCATACTGAACCTACTTCTCTACCAACTTCAACCATCAATACCTCTGTTCCTATCTCCACTACACCCATCTCAACTCCTCTCACAACCGAGTCCATCACCACCACCATCAATACCAAAATCCTAGTAGCAGTCAATGTATCTGATACAGGGGCTACTACTGTGATTGATACTCCTGTTGTCAATCTACCACCATCCCCAACCCCATCCTCTAACTCTGGTGCTACTCTAGGTGGCGATGATGAAGATTATGATTCTTTATATTTTAGTCCTTACCGACTTCCAACTGATACCGATGCTGATGCTCCTGCCACCAGTCAACATCTCCAGGACATCAATGAAAAATTGGACCGACTACTTGCAGACAGCAAAGCTTATGGCAGTGTTGTTATGAAAGCTTTCGTGGAGACTGTTGTTCAGCAATACACAGAAGCCATTGATAAATCCACAGCTGCAGTTGAGAAATCCACCGCTTCGTGTTCAAAGGCCACAGAGGAGGTTACTGAGGTTGTTCACACAACTCAGATTTTCCTTGAAGCCCTTCGTACTGATCTCAAAACAGAATCCACATCTTTTCTTCAATCTTTGGATTCTCATTTTGCTTCTTTAACTGCAGAATGTACATTGAAGGAGGACTTGATAAAACAGCAAGCAACTATTGATCTACAGAAAGTACAACTAACCCAGGCTGAAAAGGAGATCTCTCTGCTCAAGACTCAACGGGCAGTTTTTCAGAGTTGTGCTGGTGATGTGAAGAATATCTTGACTACTCTTCTCGAAGCTCATGATCCTATCCTAACCTTGACTATCCAGAAGCATCTCCATACCAAACTCCTTCCTGCCATTTCCCTTTTAAGTGAAATGAAGGGTGTCTCGGAGAAAGTCTTTCTTCCGAAACAAGGGGGAGAAGAGAGTAAAGTCAAAACAGAATCGAAGGTTAAGGTAGCTTCGGTTTCTGGAAAGCAAGTTCTAGCAGATAGTGACTCTGATATTGAAGAGACTATTGCTGATGCTCTCAAAAGAAAGAAGAGAGACAGAGAGCTTGATGAAACTCTGAAGGT